CCTCCTTTGCACGACTTAGGGCCCTGGAGGAGCAGGTGAGGGAGGTCCAGGCTGAGGTGAGCAGGCTGAGGGGGATCAGGGATGCAGAGGATGAAATTGATGCCTATCTCTGTTCTCTGCAGGCCCAGTTGCCCACTGTACAGCCCCCACAGGAGACGCATCCAATGCAGGAGTGGCAGAAGGTGTCCAAATCCAGAGCTGCTAGGCCTAGAGTGGTGGAAGCTCCCCAGGTTCACCTGGGGAACAGGTTTGATGCCTTGGCAGCTGTGATGGAGAAATACAGAGATTGCCACTGCCCGCATGACAAGGAATGGGCAGAGAGCGAACACCAGCAGGAAGAAACGCCAGGTCCTCGTCATCAGAGACTCCATCCTATGAGGACTGGAAGGTCCCATCTACCGGCCTGACCCCATGGTGCGAGAAGTCTGCTTCATGCCTGGGGCTCGGGTTAGGGACATCACGGAGAGAATCCCAGCCTACATCCGACCTGCAGACCAGTGCCCCATGGTAGTCATCCATGTGGGAACAAATGACGTGGCCAGGGACAACCCTGACCACATTATGAAGAAATTCAAGGCTCTGAGGGACAAGCTTAAGGAGACAGGGGCACAGGTGGTATTCTCCTCTCTTCTTCTGGTGAGTAAGCGGGAACGGTGACACGAGGCCTGCATTGGCAAGGTCAACTGGTGCTTACACAGTTGGTGCCGCCAGGCAGGCCTTGGGTTCCTAGATAACGACCCTTGCTTTTGGGCGGGGGACTTGCTGGGGTGGAATGGGCTTCACCTCTCTCCTACAAGCAGGCGTGTCTTCTGTTCCAGGTTGGCTGATTTTGTATGGTGAGCTTTAAACTAGCCTCGCTGGGGGAGGGGGCTGCAGGAAGACGAGGAGACACCACCTGAGCAAGACAGATGACAAATGCAAGGTGTGCCCAGGTAAGAAGTAAGAAACAGGGGTCCAGACAGTCTCCCAAATCGGGGTGGCACACGCAGCTGTGCAAGGCCTTAAATGCCTATATACCAATGCTCACAGTATGGGGAACAAAACAGATGGAACTCGCCCTCAGAATAGTCGGTTCAAACCCAGACATAATAGGGCTTACAGAAACATGGTGGGATTCATCCAATGACTGGGCAGTTGACATTAGACGCTACAGGCTTCACAGGCAGGATAGAAAAGGAAGTAAAGGTGGGGTGTGGCGTTCTATGTCAAGGAGCAAGAGACATCCTCTGCCAGCAGAATGAGGTCAGAGGATGGGCAAGATGAAGTGCTCTGGGTCAAGATACAAGGGGGCCATGGGGAGAGGGATTTAACAGTGAAGGGCTATTACAGCCCCCCCCCCAACCAAGGGGGGGGGCGGGACCGGGAATTTTCGGGCCAGCTTACAGAAGCACTTAAGGCAAGGGATGTAGTCGTCATGGGCAATTTAAAATTACCCAGACATCTGCTGGGAGGAGCAGCCAGCCAGGTTGGACTGTTCCAGGAGGTTTCTGGCCGAGATACAGGACCTTCACTTAATTCAGGAGGTGCACAGTCCCACCAGAGGAAATGCCCTGTTGGACCTGGTCCTGGCCACAGGCAACAACCTGGTAAGGGGCCTCCAGGTTCTTGACCACCTCGGTGATAGCAAT